GAGAACAAATCATAGAGCTGTGGATAGTTTTAAAATATTTTAAATAGATTTGGGTCACAAACGCCTCTTTAGACAGTCGGAAGTTTTTCGTAAATCCAGTCAAATTTCTTAAATATATTTTATGTCAAAATATATTGTAAAGGCTACACTTTAACTCTTAAACATTTACTACTCCTGGCCAGTTCACTAAACTCTCATCCTCTGACGAGTCGTTGAACCCCAGAACTTCGTTGTACTAATTTTTACCACGTTTTTATAAACTTGCTTTCTTTTTTATTTCATTTTAATTTGCACAAATTTACATAAATATGTATAAGCACACTATTTAGTTTGCTCGATTTGTAAAAAAAGCTTCTCAGCGGTGAAAAATATACTATTGTGAACAACATAAACGAGCGAAGTTCACAATAGCGCTATTCTTCATCGAATGAGGGCCATTAATACCAAATGAAAATTCGTTCGATCAGCACTTTCGACCACAGTCGAATATCGAATGTAACTCATAATAGGGGCCATAATCAGCCCTTTTTGTTATTTTAGGAGCTTTTCCGGCCGGCAGTTTAAAAAAGGAAAAACAAGTTTCCTTTTTTCCTCCTACGCGTTTCGACGCTGTTTTCCGCCTTCTTCAGGGAGTCTGTTTTTATTTATTTGGAAAATAAACATAAAAAACACAACCATTAGATACAATGTTACATATTGCAGTATGGAAACAATTAGTTATCATACACACATATGTATACAAATACAATTCTTCGACGGTAACACATCCATGATACAAAAAAGAAGGTAGTTTCAATAAACAACTTTTTGATTAAAAAGGAGATTTTTGACAATTGCTCAATTGTAAAAAAATCGAAGCGGGGTTACCCAATTTAAGTTTTTTTGTAGAGGGGTTTTTAAATCCTAAATTTGGAAGTATAAATAAAATAGTTGTATTAACATTTACCTTTTAAAAATAATTAAGGCCCCTATTGCGAGTGTCGACTGGCAGTAGAATAGAAATTTGTTGATCGAGTCGATCATCTTTTATTTTGCTATTGTGTAACTTGATCGATAAAAATTTGTACTATTGTGAATGGTTAACAGAATTGTAAACAATTGTTTGTTTGTTTACATTTGTTTGTCTAGTGTTTTATTTACATCATTTTTAAAATAATTGCTTTTATTATAAAATTTAAAAAATGCGACAGTTGAAATATGGTTTAGTGATGAGGAAGATGATGTGGAAGCTAATAGATTAGTAGAGTTGGCTAAAGCAAGGAGGGAATTGCGAGATTCGTCGGATGCCTTGGAGTTGGAAGCTGAAGTGTATGCACATATGTGAGTTTTATGAATAGAAGTTTCGTTCCCGATGCTTCACGGTTTTTAGGCTTTACATGATTTGCAGGAAAAGCTGTTTTCCTCATTAATAAACTTTATGGAAGTTTAAGAAATACGGTACGGTTATATGTACAATGATGTTGGGTATTTGTGTCCAAACGCGTGACCCGAGTTTAAAAACTTTAACATACAATTGTAGTGAAATAATTCCACTTTAATTCAAAATAAACATTTCAAATTTTCGAGCACTAGTCAATTAATAAATTATGCAGTTTTTTGTAAACTTTTGATTTTGGTTCTGCGCAAAAACACTGCGGCGTAGCCGGAGTTATGTGCACAATAAATATTGTATATGTATCTTTCCCAATAGAAGCGGAGCTTCCTCCCCTACTCTTTCCGGAAATTCCTTTTCCTCTTCACTCTCCTGCATCAGCACGACCAACCGCGCAAGTTGCCTTTTGTTGATTATAATTTTTGATCTGTAATTCAGATACATACATATATATGTATATTTCACAATTTTTTACAACTTCCAGTTCAATTGACTTACTTTTTATCCATTATAGTTCCACTTTCTTATGCAAATTTTATAAACGCAAACTCCAACGACTAAAAAACAGCAATAGAAGGATGAGCGATTAAAAAGAATTCACAGTCGCTAATTGAGCGACTAAGCGACACTCGCAATAGCATCGATAATCGCTTAATAGTCGTTTATCTACTGCCAGTCGACATTCGCAATAGGGGTGTAATATCTTATCTTAAAAACGTTTAAATTTTACACTAAATTCGATAACTACTTGCCAAAATCTTTATTATTACATTAATAAAATTTTAGTGAACATATTTTAAAATTTTTAGTGTCATTAGTCATCTGATTATTACACAATGTAGCTAGCCAGGACTATTACAGTTTTCTATATCGGATAAGATTGTTTCTGATATAATTGGGACACTGAAATTACACATTTCGATATTGTCTTTATCCATGTCTTTCAAGTAACGTGAAAACGGAGTTTACTTTGGGACCCATAGGCCTCATGACTTTCAGAGAAGTGAGTATTATCCAATTCTAGTATATTTCAACAATATCGTTATTTCTTTGGATAAAATTAAAATATATTTTACTCAATATTGGAGTTGGTGTGAAACAAAATTTGTGATTTATTGTTGGAATGAAAACTAGAAACACAATTATCAACTTATTGAGCATTCTCTTTAAAATACAAAAAGGGAAATGTTCAGTTATTTGGGATGGGGGCGGAGACGGAGGTACGGACCCATTGACAAATTGGGTAAAATTTCGGCGGCGCTTGGACAAAATTAATTCTCATCAGTCCAACTCCGGCTACGCTGACCACAGTAATTTTTACAAGAAGGTCCATATTTCAAACCGAATTTATTCATAAATTTGTATCTGAAAACTTGAAATTTTTATTTTAAACTAACGTTTAATTGTTTGACAACACGTGTGTGTTAAAATTTTTTGCTTTGGGTTAAGTCTTGTGACACAACAACCCAAAATTATTGTACAAATAACCGAGCCGTACTCAACAAAGTACCTTGTACTAGTTCGAATTTCGATTCTAAGAACAAAATGTTTGTAAATAAATGAAAAATTAATAATAAAATTTGGAGGATTTTAGATATTGCATACGGTAGCACGAAATGTCACAATCTACTTAATTGTCAGGTTGTTAATATGGCGAAGAAAAAGTGACAATGGAACTACTTTCTTTTTTGTATCATGCTTACATCTGTACATTGTCATCACATTTGACACAATAATTATTTTAACATATTTAACTTTGACATCACTAATAAATAACTATAAATAAAAATATCACAGCCTAATGTTTGTTATCGCTCATCTACTCGTCGAATGTGTCCAATTGCTGCCCGATATGCGCAATTTATGTTATCCACGTCTTTGAAGTTCATCGCGTCCTGTATTCTTTGTTGTGTTCGCAGACCTTCTAATGTTAATCTTGTCCTCTCCCTAGTAGTTTGGTTTGTGGGCAAAGGTTATATTTTCGCTTCGAATGTTTTTGTGTAATGTTTTATTATCCGTTAATCCATGTATATATGCGACTCCTGCGAATTTTTTGTATTCATGTTTATTTACAGCTTCAATGCCCATGCCTGCTGGCTTTCGTTTGTTTGTTGTTGTTGCTATAAGCTAGTTTATAATATTATTAGGGTACCCGTTTTTGTGTAATATGTGCTTTATCTTTCTGTTGTTTGCATTGCTGAACTCCTGGTCACTCAACGCGTGAATTTTTTTAAGAGATTGATAGGGTTCCTATTTTGCCTCCAGGGGCGATTCGAGTGGTACTTATTATTACTATTCTACATTTCGACTCGAATCGAAATTTTCTCCGTTTGGCAACTTTGGTATTCTGCGCTCCGTTTCCTTTCGATCATTCTTCGAAATTTACGATTATATCTTCTATATTTCGATCATAGTTCCGTTTTTCTAAGTTGCAAATTTGCACCCCTATTGCGAATGTCGATTGGCAGTAGATAAACGACTATTCAGCGATTATCGCTTATCGATGCTATTGCGAGTGTCGCTTAGTCGCTCAATTAGCGACTGAATACTTTTTAATCGCTCATCATTCTATTGCTGTTTTTTAGTCGTTGGAGTTTGCGTTTATAAAATTTACATAAGTGGTACTATAATGGATAAAAAGTAAGTCAATTGAACTGGAAGTTGTAAAAAATTGTAAAATATACATATGCATGTATGTGTCTGAATTACAGATCAAAAATTATAAGCAACAAAAGGCAACTTGCGCGGTTGTTCGTACTGATGCAGGAGAGTGAAGACATGGGCAAAGGAATTTCCGGAAAGAGTAGGGTAGGAAGCTCCGCTTCTATTGGAAAAGATACATATACAATATTTCTTGTGCATATAACTCCGGTTACGCCATCCACAGTGTTTTTGCGCAGAGCCAACATCAAAAGTTTATACAAAAAAACTGCATAATTTATTAATTGACTAGTGCTCGGAAATTTGAAATCTTTATTTTAAATTAAAGTTGAATTCTTTCAATACACTTTTTATGTTGTTATGTTAAAGTTTTTAAACTCGGGTCACGCGTTCCATAAAGTTTATTAATGAGGAAAACAGCTTTTCTTGCAAATCATGTAAAGCCTAAAAACTGTGAAGCATCGGGAACGCAACTTCTATTCATAAAACTCGCACATGTACATACACCTTCCAAGTCCAAGGGATCCGACGAATCTCGCAATTCCCTCCTTGCTTTAGCTAACTCTACTAATCTATTAGCTTCCGCATCATCTTCCTCTTCACTAAACCATATTTCAACTGTGTGCATTTTTTTAATTTTATAATAAAAGCAATTATTTTAAAAATGATGTAAATAAAACACTCAAGAAACAAATGTAAACAAACAAACAGCTGTTTACAATTCTGTCAACCATTCACAATAGTACAAATTTTTATCGATCAAGTTACACAATAGCAAAATAAAAGATGATCGACTCGATCGACAAATTTCTATTCTACTGCCAGTCGACACTCGCAATAGGGGCCTTGTTGACGGAGAATTTTTTTTAGATTGATATTTTCGTAGGTTTAAATAAAATTTTATAAAAAAATTAAGTAAAATATACTGTGCATGATTGTAAAAGTCATCATAAATGAATTTTCTCGATTTCTTTGTTTTCGCGAGCGGTAATACGAGCAATACGAAAAATTTGCTTAAATAATGGCAACCAAAAGAGATATTGCGCGAGGGTTTCAAAGAGGAAGCACAGGCGATTTTGTTTTCATTATCTATAAATAAGACTGTGAAATGCACTGAATACAATTTATTCTTTCTATAAAAAATTAATAGAGGTATGTACATACATACATACATAAAATGTGAAGTTACATAAAAAATATGGGGTGTGTTCAGTAATGCATTAAGACTTGCAGTATTTGCAGAGTTGGCAGCACTGCAGATTTGATGGTTGATGCAGCTGATAGAATTGTTGACAATTTGCAAATAGGTTTGTTGCATTTTTGAACACGTTCTTTACTAACATGGAAGTGTTAAGTTTAATAGGGGACGATATTTGTGAGCCAAGAGCTGATAGTTTTTTATTGAATTCAGGAAAAAGAAAACTTTTAAAGTTTAAAAGAAGAAGATTTCTTATTAAAAGGCTATCGCTAAAGCGAAAAATACCTAAAAACGAGACAGTTTTTAAAACAATAAAAGCCTTTCCCGAGGACATATTTTATTCTCATTTTCGGATGAATTGGTCCACTTTCAATGTAGGTTTTTACATGTTTTAGCACAAGTAGTATTTTCTAATCAAAGTTATTTTAATTAAGGCTTTGAAAGACGCTTTGTCTCCAACTTGGGTAACTGCAAGGTTTGGACGCTGTGGTCATTCATTAGAAAAATGTCTATACGTAACATTATGGAAGCTATGCAATAGCAGGGTCACCTTCCGCCAGCTTTCGCATCGTTTCAACATTGCGAGGGGAAGAGCGTACTCTCTGTTCATCAAAACAATCGAAGCCATTTGTAATTTGAAAAGCGAAATTAAATGGCCATCTGTTGAATATCAGCAAACTCTCATGGCGAATTTTGAAAACAGCAGAGAAAATCCGTTTCCTTTCGTAATTGGATGTTTAGATGGAACGCATTTCAACATACCTACGCCTAGAGAAGATGCGATCAGTTACTATGATCGCAAAGGGAAACATTCCGTTACCATGCAGGTACATACTTAGAGCTCATTACTTTAAAATTTCACTTCTAATTCATTATCTTCCAGGCCATATGTGACAGCCAATATCGTTTTTTAGATGTATTTATTGGATACCCTGGAAGCTGCCAATGTCTGGAAAAATAGCCCCATATTTCAAGCAATAACATCTGACCAGTTACCGCTAGCACCAAGCGCTGTTATATTAGGTGACTCTGCTTATCCTATTTCGAAATTTCTGATGGTGCCTTACAGAGACAACGGACATCTCACTACGGAAGAAAAGAAATTCAATAGCCGTTTGTCTTCAACGCGAGTATTTATCGAACAAGCATTTGGGATTTTAAAGCAAAAATTCAAGATTTTAAATCATATTGACGTTTCGAGCTTTAAAGGCATATCCGATGTGATACTTGCTTGTGCTATTTTACATAACTTTATTATAAACAAAGGAAATCCTTTAGAATATACTGACGAGCCGGCAATACATATAAGCATACAAGCTGACAGTGAAGTGGAGGCAGTTCAAGATGTATCTATTCGGTCCACCGAACCGGATGATATAAATGGAGTTGATAGAAGAAACTATTTAAGAATTTTTTTCCTCATAAATAACGCGTAACCGTTTATTCATGCATAAACTTATGTATTTCCATATAATTAGTTTACTTTTCTAAATTTTCTTACTGAACACGGAATAAATCGTTTTTTTAGACTTCATTTTCATTTTATTTAATTTAATAAAATATATTAAATTAACATCACATGGTTTCAATAATAAAAATAAAAAAAAGAGTTCAATCTAGAAAGGTTAAAAAGGTACATTTCACAGGTTCATCTTATGACTAATAAAAAATAAATTCAAAATCTACTTTTGCAGACATCGGTTCAATATTGATTTTAATTCCAGCAACGCTTGGATTCGCTCTTTCTCCAGTGAAAGTTTCTCCGTCTCCACAGCCATTGCTTCGTCATGTCGGGTTTGCTCTTTAATAGCTTCTTCTTCAAAAAACTTTAATATTTCGCTGTTTGGGTTTCTCCGAGGATGTGGTGCTCTACGAATTGAAGTCGGTGGAGAATTGCGTGGCTCAACATTACCTTCTTCTAATGGCGGCGACGATGGAAGCTCCAACGACGCTTGCAGATTTTGTGGCGGAGGATTGATGGAGTGCCTGGTACCATACACCTCGTCAAAATCTTCAAAATATAGCCAAGATGTTGCTTCCCTACCGGAGGAATTATTGCGCTTTTTTATACGTTTATACGATACCAGCATATTTAAAAATTTTCTTTGTGCAATGTGTCTGTCTATGTTAATGTCTCTGTTGATTTTTTTTTACTTCTTCCACCACCTTATTCCATAGAACGCTCTTTTTTCTCCTTCCAGATGCAAATTCGTCTTCCATATTTAATCGAACTCTAAGCAGCAACTGAACTTCAGCCGTACTAAGATTTTCGCTGAAAATAATAAAAATATAATATAAGATTGTTTCAAAACTATACGTTTAACAAATTTTCATTGTAAAAATTACAGAAAATTAGTTTTGTACTCACTTTTTTTCCGACATGGTACAAGCGTAATCAGCGGCAGTGTAATTTTTTTTGATGCAAATGATGAGCGAGGCTTGATAGAAAAATGGCGTTTTAGAACGCTCGACATTTGCAGTGCTGCCATATTAGCATTTCTGAACGTTCTGCTGGTCCTGCAAAAGCAGTATGCGCATTATACTGCATTACTGAACATACCCATGATTTTATTATTGCACTCGTTTTTACTAACTTTTTAAAAAGAGGTGCGTATGTGGTCTCGAATTCGATTTACTATCGAAGGATAAGCTTTGTTCTTCCCCTCCTCCTGACGGAGTTCAAAATGGAATTCATTTGCGTTCAAATCTTCCACTCTGTAGTAAATGTAAATGTTGTGGAGTGCTCAAACAACGTTTATAATTTCACTGCCTTTGAGCGGTGAGTAATACAATTCATGATAGGTTTATGACTTCACTCATCTGAAAAAGATCAAACATGTCCCTAAATCTCCGCCTTTCAACTTCCGTATCAGCAATCTGGGACTCGTTCTCCTCTTCAAGCA